ATCCGACCCCCACAGCAAATCCTCACATTTGTCCAGAATTATTAGATTACGTTGTCATATTTCATTAAATGGGTTTCATTTTATAATAATTTAATATATTAGAATTTTTTTATAAAAAAATTAATCAGTATTTTAGATCATGAAATTATTAGTTATTAATTAATAGGATAAAGATTTTTTCTGTCCTAATTTTTCAATTTTTCTAGCCGTTCCATCTTGTTGCATAGTCGAAATTAGTAAAGGTGAAGAAACAGTAGTTGTCATTTTCTTGGTGGTTAGGTCTAATGTTTGTCTCCCATTAATGCGAGTTATTATTGCAGCAAAGTCATCAAAGCATATCGCCTTCCTCCACCGACCCTTGCGTGTAACACCAATGATGCCTTGTTTTTCCATATATATCATCTGTTGACCGGCACCTCCTCTTACCGAAGACTCCATTTTATTTTAGTATTTATTTATTTATTTGCTCTGAAAATTTCTTTTTTTTTTTTTTTTAAATAATATTTCTGAGATTCTCCTAACTAACATCGTCACATGACATGCATCCTTGCGTACATAGTCCAAATAAATAATAAATCAGGACTTACCACTTTGGTTTCCTTTCTGTTTTTGAATGGTTGGAATTCCTCGTTACACCTTATTGTCCATTTTTTTTATATCCAAGTGTATGTATCATAATAAATAATACTTAGATAAAATAATGATCGTTTTTATAAAAAATTAATTTTATAAATCTCACAGAGATTAAAATTACAGCAATTTAACCCCATTAAAATAAATGATAATTTTAAGTTGTATTATTAAAAATATAAAAAATAAATAAAATTAAGCAAATAGATCACATTGATTCTTAAAAGGTTCAGCAGGAGAAGATATTGGATTAGACTTTCTCTTAACATTTCATTTGAATTTTTTTTAATAAATTTCTACTAATTAATGGTAAGTTATATTGCTAACATGAAATTATAAATTATTATAATTTTCTTTTGGATATATTTTCTATGAAATTGAAATTCATCAAATTCATTAAAATCAATTAATTATAATTTTATAATAAATTAATATTAATCAAATTCATAATAATTAGATTCCAATGATAGTTACCTAAAGTGAATAGTTATATTTTTATCATATATATATATATATAATTAAATTGATTAAACTGAAACTTAGATTATTCAACTCTAAGTTAAATCAAATATTTTTTTTGTCAGATTCAATTCAATTATTAAATCAATTGAATTGATGGGCAAATAATGAAAAATAATTAAATTCAAATTAAATAAATAATCTAAACTTGTTATAACTGGTCCGAGAGGATTGTTTTGGAAAAATTTGGATTTTGATTAGAAATTTATTTATATTTTTTTTTAAATTTATGCAAATTTTTATATTATAATCTAAAAAAGTCACTTTATCCTCTAAAATTTTTTTATTCTTTATGAGCCCCACGTCTTCTAAGAATTTTATTTATAAAAAGTGACTAATTTTTTATTAAAATGAGAGGAGAATAATACTTCCAAAATATTTAGAAAAAAAATAATACCTCCAAAAATACCTCTGTTCGTAGGACCGAACAGAGGTTTTTGCATCTTGCTTAATTTGTGAGAAGACATCCTGAACCGTGGATCATACATATAAGATCTTAAGATAACCTTCCAATGCCTCTTCCACCCATTTCACGTTATATTCTTTGGAGAAAATCTGCTGAGGGTGGGGAAGTAGAAGCAAATCATCGACCCTAGTTTACAGGTCCTCTAGGCCACATAGCCTTCACCCACAGATGAAATGGATGGAGGGATGGCTTCTGAAGCCCTTACTCTGGACAAATGTTCATTTAATTAAGGAATAAGGGGTGAGATCTAGAAGGCAAGCTATTAGACCGGACATGGCAGTGTTCTTTTGACCTCAAAGGAGAGAGCCAGTTTTCTGGGCAAAAAAGTGGCTTAATGACTAAATTAACACGGGATTGTGCGCTTCAAATTAAGTCGAAATCCCTCTTTCTTCCTTTGGCATATATGTATATCAATGGAAGAAGACACAAGGAATCTCATCCTCTACAATCTTTGATCATTAGCGACATGATTTGGGTTTAGATCCAAATGTTAGGTTAGCAATGTTTGCGTCAGTGTCTCCACGTTACTAGCCTTCTTATTGATAATGAGAAATCAATGGTTGTCAACTAAGAAAAATCCTTAGTGGCCACCGTGTATTAATCTAATATTTAACGTATTGGCACCTAAAAATCAAAATCCTCTCTCCTCCACTAGAAAAAGTATCAACACTGTCTTACTTGTGTTTGTTTCATTTAGTCCATGTGCGTGCATTTGTGCATGCTTTCGCATGTTCAATTTTTTTCTTTTCTTTCTTAATTAGCATGTGCGGTTAAATGGGTACAAGAATACAGATACAGAATTCACCAATGCTGTCAAAGTAGAGAGCCGAGACTACAATTCAGCAGTTAAGCAATCATCCTTAATCAAGCGAATCACAGAAAATATTTTTCCTTCTGATTCCAAAATACACAACCAAGGAAACAATATAACATGCATCTCTCACCAATTTTAGCCACAAGATATAACAAATTTCTCTGTTGTCTCACTAGTATTAGCAGCAAGCAAAAAGGGCTTCATTTTAATTTTCTCATCCATCAATTAATCTTTCATTCATAAGGAATTTCAAACAAACAAATTAATTTTTAAATCATTGTAATTCATTTCTTTGGAACATTTGGAATCTTAACAGCTTTGGTATCTTCAGATTTCAAGCTGTTGCCCTCTAGTACATTTGTGCTGGAATTTGTCTCATGTTTCTCCAATCTTGTAAGCTTTTAGGAATGAAAACCAACTAACGTCTTGTAATTCTTTTCTTTGAGGAAAATGTCTCAATGAGGATCGGAAAAGTAGACATGAAGAGTTGATTGTTTATATAGATCAGAAAATCGGGTGGTTTAAGTCATACAAGTCCCCATGGTAAGATTTATAGATTTTCAAATAATTACGAAAAGTAAAATTGAAAAGATGTAACAAAAGAGCAGAATTGGGTTGAAATTGTCAAGTATATATGTTCATTTATGATTTAGATACAAGGATATTTTCATGTACTACTATCAACTGCTATTACTGATAGTTTTTTTTTCCCTTTCCTATGAGCAAAATTTTTGATGCCAATACTAAAGCATCATGACTTTCTATACTAATTGAGGATGTTAAGGAGGGTAAACCCTGGTTTTGATCAGGTGCTTGAACAAGCACTCTAGTCCTTCTTCTAGGCCAGTCATGCTTGATTCAATCTTTGCCAATTGATCCTGCACATTCTCTACTGATTTGTTAGCTTTGCAGCAGTCAAGTGAAAGAAATTGAGCCTCAACCTTCTTGAACTCTTTCAAAATTGTTTCATCATCTGGGCATATCACAATCTTGTGGTGCATCAACTTAGAAAGCAAAGACAAGGGGCTTGACCTTGACTGAAACTTAGTCCCCAAAATATAGAACAGAAAGGACTCAAGCACAGTGAGAGTTGCCACTTCAACCTCCTTCAACACTGCAACAATAGTCAACATTTCCCGGTCTTTGTCCAAAGCCAAAAGGTTTTGCTTGATTCTGATGCTCTTCAAATCTTTAAGCAACTTTTGAATGACCTTCTTTGCCTTTTTTCTAGAGGCTAAGAACTCCGAGAATCCATTTGTGTCTCTTCTTCTTCAAAGGCATGAATAGAGATCTTGTACGTTTTGCTTGACTTGTGAGAAGACATCCTTAGCTGTGAACACACAGCTAGGAGCTTAAGATAGCCTTCTAATGCCTCTTCAACCATTTTCTGTTTGGTTCTTGGAAGAAGACGCGTTGAGTCTGTGGAAGTAGAAGCAAATCATCCACACAATCAAATAAATTGTCAAGGCCACATAGCCTATCACCTATAGATGAAATAGATGAAGGGGTGGCTTCAGAAACCATCACTCTGGATAAGTGTTCATTAAATTGCGGAATGAGGGGATGGGATCCAGAGGGCAAGCTGTTAGACCAGGCATGGTAAAGTGATTTTGATCTCAATGGAGAGGAAGCCATTTTGGTTTGTTAGAGGAAAAGTGGCTTAATGGCTTGCTTAATTAACACTAGAATGTGCAATTCAAAGTTGGAAGGTCCCATTCCTTGGCTTGGTATATATATCAAAGGGTGAAGGAGACAAAATGAATCACATCCTTTACACCCTTCAATGAGTAGAAACATGATTTGAGTTTGGAACCAAATGTTATGTTGGCGATGTTTACGCATTTTCTCCACTTTACCATGTCTCATACTGATCATGAGGGTATTTGCTGACTTAGAAATCCTATGTGGCCACCATGTGATTCTATTTAATAATTAACACAGCACCACCTAAAAAATTGATAAACCTGTCGTCTCTAGCGAGAAAATATGAGCTAGCACTGTATCCCCTATTCTCTTATTTGCTTGATGAGCATTAATGGGTACATTTATATGTTCATTCTTTTTATTTTGTACGCACCCTTGTGAGGGCTAATTTACAAGTCCTGATTCATTTTTGTTAATTTTTGTCGAAAGTCTCACGTAGAAGGTATATAAGTTCTGATGTAACTTACCCACAAGAACAAATTCTAAAACTTCAACTCTTAACCCACTCATTTGCCCCTCAAAAACTTGATTTTTACTTTATACCAAGAATAGCAAAAAAAGAAACTCAAAGGGAGATGAACGAAAGTTCAGCTGTTAATTATTCTTCTGCACTCATTTGGTACAAACGTTAGCTCTGAATGTGCATATCTGTGGGCACTCAACACCATAGGTAGTGGCAGTCAAATAATATCGACCAAGGGACCAAAACCAAAAGGTCTTTGGTGACCGCAGTCGATGTTGTTACCTGGGCTAGCCCCAATTATTTGGTAGTACCTCCTGTAGAACCCAATTCGGTCTTAGACCCTTGAATCCGACCCATGACCACATTCAAGCCCACCATTGATGATGTTTGTGATCACCCCATACCTAGGGAACTGGCCGACCGCCCTGATCAGCTGCTGACGGCGTCCACTGTCCGATGATGACATTGTGGCATGAAGGCTTGGGGGACTGTGGGGTCATCCAAAACCATAGAGCTGTCTTAAAGGAGATGACCATGTTAGTCGCCACTAGATCGAGGTTGTGCAGGAGGTCCACCCCTATGGCCCTCCCTACAAGTCTGTAGTTATAACTGCTAAATGAGAAGAAAGGGAGAGGAAAAATGTAAACATTAGTCAAAACATTCAACGAATTTAGCATGAAATATTTTCTTTTTCTTTTTAAATTGTAAAGAAGTCCAAAACTTACTAGGAAATTTGGATTGGGCCCCGACCATAATATTTCTTTCCAGGAGCACAAGGACACTGAGCGCTTGGAACACAGTAGTCAGGAGGGCTTCCTTGTTCTTTCAAATAGCATTATCCCCATGCATAAGACCTGTCTGTGCACTAGGCCACCCACCTAACATGCATCTTGGAAGTTACAAAACCCTTAACTTTTCTTTAAGTTAATATGAAAAAGTAAATTACATTTAACCCCCAAATCTGTTATTGAGTATCACTTTGCTTCCTTGTACTTTGATGACTTACTTTGTACCCCCTCAAATGCTGAAGCTGGTTCATAGTTTCTTTCAAGTATAAGGCGGTAAAGTGATATTCAGCCATAAATTAGGGCAAAGTATAATTTCCCCAAAAATTAACTTAATATAAACTTTTAACTAGCTCCCCACCAAGATATGTTTAACAACAGAACAGTTGGAAAAAGCCTGAGATTTTTTTTTTTAATTTATGTAAATAACATGTAATCCAACATATAATCATATAATAATGGGAACGAACCAGTAGTTTCATGGGACCTTTGGGCCAGAAAGCCGCAATCTCCCTCTTGCGGTGGTCGGTGTTGCCGACGATGCCGAAGGCCGGGAAGGACTCGGCGGCTTTGATGAAGGCATTGTAGTGTAGAAGCTCTTGGGGGGCAAGCACCATTGTTGCGGTGCAATAACATTTGGTTGAACATGGACCTAGAAATAAGGTTGCCGATACCACCGCTGGTACCAGGGGGCGGGGTGGCACCACTGCATTGGCTCTAGCAACCGTTGCCGCAGTAGTCATCAGTGGAGCCGCACCACCCATACTTGCTGCAGCAGAGGCCTCCGGGACACAAAGCACCCCCTGCTTGCCCTCCACATTACTCTGCCGAGCTTCTGATCACCAGGAGAGAGAGTAAAAACACAAGTACTTTCATTTTTATTTTTGTTTGGTGGGCATGGACCTGAGGAATGTGTTGGGTATATATAAATATGTTGTGGAGGGGGTGGAGATGGGTTCAGCTTATTCTCTTTTCCTTGTTTCCTTTCCCACCAAAGTGAATTCTCTTTTTGACATGATCAACGAGGACGACAGCTCTTTTTCTTTCTTTCTTATCCATAGCTCTATATTTAACAACGAGCGTGGCGGTTTTTAGCTTCATCTACATCAATGCTAATTTAGTTTGAACTAATATTTTTGAAAAAGGCATCACACCGTGTGTTGCAGAAGTACAAGTTCATTGTATCTTGTCAAGATGTATAAATAAGTATTAATTTCTTCCCTACAAAATTACAATAATAATAAACAAATTAAATTTTACTTATGTGATGACTGCATTGACAGAGAGTTGGCACCTAAATTTTTTACGCCCACTGTATTTTTATATTTAGATTAATATCTATTTTCATTTGATGCAAAATATTAAAAAAGATTATTGACTTTCATGAGTAAATAAATATATGCTTGACAGTTGCGTACCAAATTTTGGTTAAGGCTGCCCCTGTGGCTGTGGCTGTGGCATCCACGATCTTTCTTTAGCTACTTTACTTTTTTATCTCGTGCATGACTTTTACCCATTTTGCTTTTGACCAATCTAAGCCGACCCCTTAGCAAAATCCTTTCATTTGTCCCAGAATTATTTGATTAACATTGTCATATTTCATTAATTGGGTTTCATTTGTTTAAAAATATATTATAATATATTAGAGAGAAAATTAATCAGTATTTTAGATATGAAGTTATGAGTTATTAATTAATAGGATAAAGATTATTTCTGTCTTAATTTTCTATTTTCAAGCCGTTCTATGTTGTTGCGTGGTCGAAATCAGCAAAGGTGAAGAACAATAGTTGTCATTTTCATGTTGATTAAGTTTAATGTTTGGCTTCCATTAATGCAAGTTATTATTGTACCAAAGTCATCAAAGCATATCGCCTTCCTCCATCCACCCGCTTGCGTGTAACACCAATGATGCCTTGTTTTTCCATATATATCTTCTGTTGACTGGCACCTCCTTTTACCGAAGACTCCATTTTATTTTAGCATTCATTTATTTTTGTTCTGGAAATTTCTTTTTTTTTTAAAATAAATTTCTGCTCAGATTCTCCTAACCAACATTGTTATATGACATGCATCCTTACGTACATAACCAAATAAACAAAATAATACTGGACTTACCACTTCTGTTTCTTTTCTGTTTTTGAATGGTTGGAATTACTAATTACATCTTATTCTCCATTTTTTTTATATCCAAGTGTACGTGTGGCAATAAATAAATACATAGATAAAATAATAATCGTTTTTATAAAATTAATTTTATAAATCTTGCTATCGGCCTGGACTAGCTAGAACTGGACCAGACTGGAATCGAAACTACCGTTTCCATTCCTGAAAAATGATGAACTAGGATTGGCACCTAAAGGCCAGTCTGGTTTTAGTTCCGGTCTGGTTCACAGTTTTAGTTCCGGTTCCAGTCCGGGCCAGTTCACGGTTTTAGTCCAGGTTTGGTCCAGTTTATGGTTCCAATTTGTTAGCGGTTTGTTTTTAGTGCATCTGTGATTCTAGCTCGGTTTCGATTCATTCTTGGTTCATTGGTGGTTCGTTCTCTATTCTTCCACAGTTCCAGTTTCGATCTGGTTCGTTTGTGATTTGTCTATGGTTCGGTTCAATTTTGGTTTGATTTGCTTGAAAAAAAATTTATACATTAACTTGTAAATATTTTTGGGTTATTAAATGTTTTTCAAATATTATAAATATTTAATCTAATAAATATCTTTCAAATAATAATAATAATAATAAAGGATTTGAATGAGACCATGATAAAATTAAGAGAAAAAATTCTCGTAAATCTATGTTCAAAGGCGTAAGATAACTTGAATTTGCTACGTACAGAATGATAAGCCACTACGTCCATGTGATTCGATCGACTAATGGCAATTGTCAAAATAGGTGGCGATATTTTTATTTTCTTTCAATTTCTCAAGGTAGATTATTTTGTAAATTGAGAAAATTTTATATAGTTAAACTTCTTCGCGACTAAGTTTGGCCTTAATTTTAATTAAATTTTTACTTAAGTGCATTACCTTCATTTTTATGATTTAAAGATCTAAAAATGACTATCCACTTTTTTTTTTATTGCATAAAAAATCTCATTTAAGAGAGAGAAAAAAAATTAAGAGTGAATTTATAATTTTTAAATGAACCTTATAACATGTTATAGATAATTTTGATTTTTTAATACAAAATCAAATAGACAATACAAACCCTCAATTTTTTTTTCCTCAACTAAATGAACAAGAAACATATTCTTCTTGAATTAATGAAATTATTATTTCTATGTGTGACTTTAAATTTTATAAACTTGGTTTGTTTGACACCCCCTCCCCAAAAAAAAGAAATTCTCTAGATCTCATTTTTATTTTTTAAAATTTTTTTAGAAAATATAGTCAATTAATAAACAGTGTTTGGATTGAGAATGACATAATGTTTGTATTTATTTTATAATATTGTTTTCTATTTTCAAAAAATAATTATGTTTGCAATTATTTTATTAAAAAAATTTTACAAAAAATCTTATTATTATTTTTAATCAATTATAAAAGTAACAAGACGAAAAAAATTAATTAATATAATACTAATTTTCATGGTTCACGGTTCATATACAGTTCTAGTTTACGATTCACAGTTTACAATTCCAAGTAGATATGTTCATTTATGATTCAGATACAAGGATATTTTCATGTTCGACTATCAACTGCTTATTATGATAGTTTTTTTTTTCCCTTCCTATAAGCAAAAATTTTTGATGCCAATACTAAAGCATCATGACTTTCTATACTAAATTGAGGATGTTGAGGAGGGAGACCCCAGTTTTGATCAGGTGCCTCGACAAGCACTCTACTCCTTCTTTTAGGCCGGTCATGCTTGGTTCCATCTTTGCTAGTTGATCCTGCACGTTCTTTACTGATTTGTTAGCTTTGCAGCAGTCAAGTGAAAGCAATTGAGCCTCAGCCTTCTTGAACTAATTCAAAATTGGTTCCTCATTTGGGCATATCACAACCTTGTGGGTGCATAACTGGAAACCAAAGACAAGGGGCTTGACCTTGACTAAACCTTAGTCCCCAAAATATAGGACAGAAAGGACTCAAGCACGGCGAGAGTTGCCACTTTAACCTCCTTCAACATGGCAACAATAGTCAATGCTTCCTGGTCTTTGTCCAAAGCCAAAAGGTTTTGCTTAATTCTGATGCTCTTCAAAT